TTTTTATACATGTGCTTCGTTTATGTAGTGCTTTTCATTTGTTCTGATCATTTTCTTTGTAGCACAGTGTTAGGGACATATGGTTATTGATACTTTGTTTTGTCAAGCCACATCTGACATCCTCTGGCTGCGAAGGAGCAGGTGAATCTGTCTCCACACTATCCCAAGGTGGATTGCAGCAGATGGCAAACATGTTTCCACCTTTCAGTTTCTCTTCACCTATTCTAACACCAACGGTTCCTCCCACAATATTCTGCTTCTTTGCTGGGTTTGATGATCTGTTGCAATGGCCATCCAGGACTCATAGACAATAGTCAAGATCAGGGGGGTTTATTAGGGAAGTTAACAGGTTACCACAAGCCAGAATCAGAAAGACTTAAGCATACAGTCATTGGACGCTAGCAATACCTTTCTTCGGCTAGCAGCCAAGTCTCTCTCCCAGCCTCAGCCTCTCCGCCAGTCTCTTGGCCTTTTCCTCCATGAGATAGGAAGCCAGCGCCATGCTCTGCCTCAGTCTTAGTCTCAGCGCTGCTCCTCTGTTCTCTCTCATGGTCTCTTTGCCTTCACGTCTGGTCTCTGCTCGGCTCCTTTGCGCTGTCTCAGTTTCTGTGCCAGAGCCGCTGGTGCCTCTGGTCTTGGCTTCTGCCACTTCATGCAAAAATCTTGAACACACTCCCCTTCTTCCTTGAGGACCCCAGGCTTCTGTCTTTCCCTGCTTTGGGATTGGCTTATCCTTACATCCAGGGGAGTGGCAACTAACACTGATCAACCCCATCTTTTATTGTTATACACCTCTTTACATTAATAAAATGCAAGGTTTTGTTGACATACTCTGATCCCTGAGGGGGTTTTTTCATCTATTTGAAATTTCTTCCTTTTTAATAGAATTTTTTTGTTTATAAACACATCTGTACAAGTATTGATATCTACCATTTTACTATTTGTATTCAGTTTCCCCCTGATTTTGATTTTAGATTTTTGTAAGTTTTTTTTACCCTTCAGCATGTGATAGGATCATGTAGAACTGCTAAAATAATGATTTCTGCTGATTTATAAAATAACTGTAAACCAAACTGTAAAAATGATAAAATTTAAATTAACAACATAAATGTAACGAAAGATGCCAATATGAATTATATAGTAAAGACTGCTATGTTAGGTGTGACTCTGTTCTAATGCAATGACTCAATAACCAACCACTTTCTCTCTTTGAACTTTTAAGAAATCGTTATATCTGCAGCCTGCTGTGATATCATTTGATCTTTGCTTCGTACAAATACATCATTTGAGAAATAGAACCATTTCTGTGATTTTTCTCCTTCCTCTGCCTGCCACAATTAAAATAGCATTCCTATTTTAATATGCGGAAATATGCAAGCAGTCCTCAAATTATGTCACTATAACCCTTAGTTATGAACCAACCCATGCAATGCCTATAATATTAAAATTTTGAGGTACAGTGATTCGTAATAAGAAAGGAGCACATCAAAACATTGCTTTTTTTTTTTTTAATCCATTGTCATTAAATCTATTCCAACTCACAGGGACCCTATATGGGGCTCCTGAGACTGTAAGCCTTCGTGGAAGCAGGAAGCCTCACCTTTCCCCTGAGCTACAGCTACTGCTGGCCCTGGGGTTAGCAGGCCATACTTTCCCGATACTGCCACCAGGGCTCCTTATTACTTGTTATTCTTACTGTTGTATTATGTTACAGATGTTTGAATGCATCAGGAAGTGTTGACTTTTTAAAATGCATTTACTATTACATTTGACTAACTGACGTCAGGCATAAACTATATACCTGATTGTTGGGTGTAATGTACAGGTTTGACTTAAGGACAGATATAGGAACATAATTCATTTTTAATCTGGGGATTGCCTATAGTAAATGCATATTCAGGTGTTGCTACTGCTTGATCATTTAGGGTCACTAGGTAAGCATATAGAAGCCCTGTATAGCTATTGGGTAAGAGTTGGACTACTCACCTCAAGGTTGGCACTTTAAACCCACCAACCCCTCCATGGGAGAAACGTGAGGCTCTCTGCTACCACAAAGATTTACCGCCTCAGAAATCCT